CCCCCCCCCCCATTTTAAATGACTTTTCCTTTGGAAGGGTACAAAAAAAAGGTACACTTCAGGTCAAACAAAACATTTAACTTGGACAAAAGAAATTGGCTTTGACTTTTCAGAACTGGAAGTAAACTGAAAAATCAGTTCTTTGTATAGCCGACTGATCAGGCTTCTAACTTCATGGAGGTAGGTGCTCCTAGTTTGATGAACAAATGGTTATGCCTCTATCTTTGTACATAAATAATCTTTAGGAACCCTCCTTTTGTCCAAGCATGGGGGGAGGGACAGTGGAGTAAACTGCACATTTGGGCATGTTTCTCCATGTTCCTCTTGAGCCACATGTTAAATGATGTTTATGTTAAATATGTTGCTGGACAGTTGTCTGCTACTTCTGTGTTGCTGCTACAGTTGTCTGGACTGGATAGTTGTCAGCTACTTCTCTCTTCCTCCCGCACCACCAGGATGGAAAGGGATGGATGTTTATCTGTCCAAAAACATAAAACATAAAAGAAATACTAATCAGTGTTAAGAGAGAAGATGACAGAGTAGATACATTGCTCACTGAAACAGACTTGGTCTTAAGTCAGATAGCAAATCTTATAGACTACATTTCTTTTGCAGTTTATTTTGCTGACTAATTTGATCCTTTCATTGAACAGAAGTGAAAAAAACTATTCAGTAAACTTACTTTTGTCTCTCCAAATAAATATGAAAGAGTTGTCTCCTTTCTTTAAAGGAAAATGATATGAAGAATATTGGCAGAAATCAGTTCTCAGAAATCAGTTACTGGGCAGACTTAATTGAAATTAATATTTCTGAAAGGTTTGCTTGGCAAAAATCTTGGTCTGATTTGTGACTCCTTTTTTTTTTTTTTTAATTTAGGGAGCTAATGCTCTTGTTACCTACACTATTATCAGTGGTGCTGATGACAGTTTCCATATTGATCCCGAGTCTGGAGATCTGATAGCCACTAAACGTTTGGACAGAGAACGTCGCTCCAAATATTCCCTCCTGGTCCGTGCTGATGACGGTCTACAGTCCTCAGACATGAGAATAAACATTACTGTTAGTGATGTTAATGACCATACCCCAAAATTCTCCAAACCAGTTTATTCTTTTGACATACCAGAGGATACTACCCCAGGTAAGTAAAGAACAACCCTTTTATTTTCTAAAATTGTTGTTCTGCAGCTTTTATTTTCATATGAACTCGACAGCAGTGAGCATTAATGTTTTCATTATTAAGATGTTCATTTGACTGATAGTCATCCAGCTTGTCTCATGTGTGCAGCCACTTCTTATGATTGAAGTGTAGAAGTTGACAGAGAGCTAAAATTCAGAAGCTGAAATATGGGGCTTTTTAGCAGTGGCACCAATATAGTAAGTAACTGAAAATAATTCCATTACTTTGTTTTTCATAAATGCAAAGGTGTAGCTAAATGTTTCCTTAGAGGATCAAATTCTACTTTCTAGAAACCCTCTCTATGCTCTCTTTCAAGCACATCCCACTCAGTCGTACCATAGTCATAGGCCTGAAGGTGAGACCCATTCCCCATTCATTCTCTTCTTTTTGAGGGCAAAGTAGGACAGTTCTGTTGTGTTTAGTGGAAGTAACCTATACTTTTCAGTGCCGTCTTGTAGGGGAAAAGGAGTAGGGAAATGGACAGGTTTAGCTATTAGCAAGAGAAAGAATACTCTAGATACCCAAGCTAGTTATCTGAGGGGAAAAAAATACACAAAAAATGTTGAATGAGCTAGTTCTGTTTGGCTTGAAAAAAAAGGAGAGTATGTTGGGGGAAGGCGTATGATAGCAATTTTGAAATATTTGAAAGGCTGCCAGAAAGAAGAGGAAGAATAATTGTTTTCCTTTGCCACAGAAGGTGGGATGAAGACCAACGGGTTTGAACTACAGCAAAGCATATATAGATCAAGTCTCAGGAAAAAAAACAGGGCAAATCACAGAGGCATAGAGTGCTGCTTAAAACTTAGCATCTGGTTTCTAAGGATTTCATAACAACTATTATGTAAAGCAGGGGTGGCTAACCTATATCACAGGTGTCATAAGTGACATGGGGAACCCCTGTGTGGTATGTGGTAGACTGAGGAGGGCGTAGGCAACACAGTGATAGATAGGGGAAAGACTAAAAAGCAAAACATCAGATCAGTGGTAGATAGGGAGTACAGGGTAGAAAACAGCACAGTGGATCAGCTATGGAAAAGGGATCAAAATAGTGAAGGACTAATTTGTGGCATGCCTGCCAAAAAGGTTAACTCTTGCTGCTCTAAAAGAGTGGAACCTCCTTTGATTTTTGTGGGTAGGGAGGAGTACCTCTACCAGGTACTCATACAAAGCAATGTTGCCTATATGGCTGAGGACAGACATTCAAAAAGCCTGAGCCTGAATTGATTCACGCTTTGCAGATTAGTCTAACCTGAAAAGCTTGAACTGATTTAGAGGTGGATAGACATTCCCTTTTCATTCCAGAAATGCAGGCACATGCCTGCACTGGCTCAGGCTAGAAGCTGGGGGGCTCTAGAGCAGCCCTCCCTCTCTTCCAAAGTGCTGAGCTGGGGGGTGGGGACAAAGCCATACCACAGCAGGATGCTCTGATTAAGGAGGGGTTCCCCCCACCCCCTCCTGACCAGGAGGGAGCCAACAGGGACTTGATAACAGGGCATTGAGTTACACAACAGGGAGTTAGACAGGAAGTTGTTAGCATTTATCACCCCATCAGCAAAACAAAAGGATCTCTCATTAGTACAAGCTCTTCTTAAACACCATTTTCCAAGGAAGGAATGGAGGGACATTACCACCTACCTATTGATTAGCTCCAAAAAGCCCTAAGTCAACACTGTCCTGACTGCCTTTGTCCTGTCTCCCACAGCATGGACCGTAGCCAGCATGTGGTATGCTACCTAATGCTGAGAGGTGTCTGTGTAGGGTAGAGGGGAGGCAGGATCCCTGCCTGAGCAGGGAGTGGTGTGGGGGGGATAAAGGAGTGGTGGGGGGGGT